ATGAGTCAGAGCAAGACTTTGGGCATGTTTTTTTTATGAGAGTAAAACATTATAGCACGATTTAAACTGAAAAAAGTTGATTTTACATGATATTGCCCCTTTAAGTTATCTGTATGTCTTTTAACCTATTTTGATATAGTTCAATCAGTGAATACAGTGCAGTAAAAAGTCACAAAAACATCCATCCATCAGTTATCTGGGACTAGGGTTGCAGCCAGTCTTGCCAACATGCCAGGAAAGTAGCTATTGTCTGTTCTAAAAGTCAATAAAAGTCACCAAACAGTGTTATAACCTTCATCCATCCCTTGTCTACCACTTGTTCCATCAATGGGTCACACAGGGAGCAGCTTGAGGAGGGCCCAGACGTTTCTTTCCACAGCCACTTCATCTAGCTCTTCTGAGCTATGCTGTTATGGACACTTGCTCACTGGTCTCTCAAGACAGATTGGTTTTACATGACAGGGCAGGCAGAGAGCAATACCTGCCAGTAAATCCCAAACACAAAATACTCCATTGTAGACTGAACAACAGTTTGGCAGCAGTCTGATGCACATTTGCTAAAACTACCTTAAAACTATTCAAAYTGCTAAATAACAGTTTCAGCAACTTTTTTTCGCTTTATGCCATGCTTTTTGTCTTAGCTGTCTTGTGCCTTTGTATTGTGTTAGTGAACAATGACAGCTGTGTTTTCAGGTCATCTTTTTTGTCAAAAATGTTTGCTGAAAAGAATCAAATGTAGCCRGCAGGTAGTTTAAAAATAAAGTTTGGTCATTTTTAACTGATGTTTGTCAAATAGTTATCAGTTATCAGGTAATTAGTACTTGCCTGAATGAAGTATTCTGCTTTTGTGAGGATGTGTATTTTGTTATTTTTGAGTTTTCCTGTGTTTCCACCCTCCAGTTATCCTCAGTCTATTTCCTCGCCAATTATTCAGTTAAACATCCTCACCTGCTCAGTCATCCTTAATCAGTCCYGTCACCAGGTGTTCATCATTTCCTCATTCCCTCTGTTTGTATATATACTGGTCATTCACTCCACACCCTCACTGGCTCATTGTTTGGTTCACCCTACTGTTATGTTTCTCCTTAGTTGTGCTTGTTATCTAGTTTTTTGCTGCCTCGACAGCCTTTTTTTTTTTATTTTTGTTAAACATTTTTTCATATTGCAAACTCTTTTCTCCATCCAGATTTGGGTTCTTTCTTTAGTTAAAA